TTTACATAGAAATATCTGATGTTTACATAGAAATATCCGATATTTACATAAAATAACCTGATATTAAAATAAAGGTGTCTGATATTTACATAAAAGTATCTGATATTAAAAAAAATATCTACCTTAGACATCAACAAGAGATCCAATGCCCTCCAATAAAACTAAGTAGAATTTACCAAACTTCTTTTGTAAAAAATATTTACAAATTACAAAAAAAGTTGCAAACCATTTACAAATGCACACGCAACACAATGAAGGTGTAAACATGTATTTAATTTTGTCTCCACACAGCGGAATTTAGATATAAATGGAATTGGTCAATCATTAGATAGTTCTACGCGTTAGCTCTGTGAAACTGGCCCCCCGAAATTCGAAACTTTTAATTTTAGAAGCAGCATACATTTGATCATCTATTGACCATGTTTGACCACCCACTAACTTTTTTTTTGACCACCCTCATAAACCTAAATATTTAAAGAAATATTAATGGCCGAGTGACCGCTGGTCCCCCGAAGTTAATATTTTTTAAAACTAAATGCGCCATAAGATTAACCAATTTTTGACCATGTTTGACCACCCCGTAGTTTTTTAACACCCCTTAAAATAATTTAAAGTGGGTAAAATAAAGAAAAACAAGAGTTCTGGGATGAATTTTAACTTTAAAAGATAGATCAATGGTCCGATAGGCACAATAGGTTTCAAAAACGTTTAAAATCTTTTATCGCCGTTTGATCACTCCCTAAAATGTCTTAAAACCCCCCAGAGAGGTTAAAAATTCAAAGAAAACATTTCCCAATCCAATTTCTAATTCAAAAAAATGGTCAATTGACATAAGGACATAATAAATATCCATAAAGATTAAAAATTATGTTTTGACGCTTGCCCATCCCCTAAAATAATTTTAGTATTTCTAAGTAGTGTGAAAATTCGAAAAATAATATTTGGAAAGGCCATTTTGACTTGAAACAAATGGTCAAAGGACATAAGTACACAATAAAGATCCATACTAGTTTAGAATTAAGTTTTGACGTTTGACTAAAATAATTTTAATGTGCCAAAGTAGTGTGAAAATTCGAAAAATCGAATTTCGGCATAGAAAAAAAGTTCAAACGACATAAGTTTGCAATAAAGGTCCATAACGATTTAGAATTATGTTTTGATGTTTAACGACCCCCTAAAATAATTTTAATGTGCCCAAAGTGTGGAAATTCGAAAAATAAAATTTGGAAATCGAATTTCCACTTGGAAAAAATGGTCAAAGAACATAAATTTATAACAAAGCCATAACGATTAAGAATTATGTTTTGACGTTTGACCGTTTTTTTCAAGCTGAAATTCGATTTCCAAATTTGGTTATTCGAATTTTCACAATACTTGGGAACAGTAAAATTATTCTAATGGGTGGTCAAACGTCAAAATATATTTCTAAATCGTTATGGATCTTTATTGTAAGCGTATGTCTTTTGGCCATTTTTTCCAAGTGGAAATTCGATTTTAAAATTTTATTTTTTTAATTTTCACACTACTTGTGCACACTAAAATTATTTTAGGGGATTGTCAAACGTTAAAACATAATTTTAAACCTTTACGGATATTTATTATGTCCTAATGTCGATTGATCATTTTTTTTAACTAGAAATTGGTTCGGGAAATGTTTTCTTTGATTTTTTAGCCCCTCTAGGGTGTTTTAAGATATTTTAGGGAGTGATCAAATGGCGATACATAATTTTTAACGTTCTTGGATCCTATTATGCCTTTCTGACCATTGATCTATCTTTCAAAGTTGAAATTCATCCCATAACTCTTGTTTTTCTATAATTTACCCCATTTAAATTATTTTAAGAGGTGTTAAAAAAATCTAAGGGGTGGTAGTAAAACATGGTCAAAAGTTGGTTAATCTTATAATGCAGTCAGCTTTAAAAAATATTAACTTTGGGCTCGACTTTGGGGGGCCAGCGGGCTTTCAGTCATTAATATTTTTTTAAATATTTAGGTTTCTAAGGATGGTCAAAAAAAGTTAGTGGTTGGTCAAACATGGTCAATAGGTGGTTAAATGTATGCCGCTTCAAAAACTAAAAATTTCCAATGTAGGGGGGACAGCTTCACAGAGCTCTATGCGCAGAATGTAAGTTGTTCTAATTTAGATTTTTGTAGCTTTTGAGTTGCGATACGTCTAGTTTTCTATGATTTTACCGAATAGGCATTTCTTTTAGTTTCTCTTTATCTCTTCAATGCATTTTTACAATGCCGTTTACTAACATTGAAAAGACAAATATGGTTTTAGTATATAAGGCCGTTGGAGAAAATGCACTTAATCATGTTTTAACCGATAACCATTTCCTAAACATACTGTATACAATATTTGAACTGAACCAAGTCATATCGGAAATGCACCGACTAAAAGATCCAACGGCACACATTCTTTATTGCTCTTATACAAGCGTTTGACAATCTATGGATTGTGATTTAATATGCAAAGATGCATAGCCACTGGCAATTCCACATAAACCAATAAGATTGATTAAAATGTCTATATGATGCTGCGGTTTTAAAACAGGACGGATTTTGAATTTAATAAAGGGGTACAGCAAGTATACGGATTGTCAGCTCCAATTTTTAATATAACAAGCGACAAAGGCAAGTAGTATAAAAGGAGCAATAATTAAAAAGGTAATACAAATCATTGTTTTTTCCGATAATAAATTAAGTGATGGAAAAAGTATAATAAAATCTGCAATTAAAATCGAAAATTAGGGTTAATAAATGAATTAATAAATAAAAAAATACTATCATCAAAACTGGTATTTAGATTATCTTTTCAAAATAAAGAAAGAAAATTGAATTTTTTAAATGTTCAAACACTAAATTCTTCATAACTTTGGTAAAAATTAAGATATTTTAAAAAACAAAAACATATTTTTAACTTAAGGGATATGACTATTGATTCCCAGAAAGGGCCAAGGGAAATCCCAAAATTTGGCATATGGCGAAAGGGCAAAGTGTACCGCGGGCCAAATTTCATTGTTTGCCTATAACGGCCAAACTATTCAAATTTTTTTATTGCAACTTACAAAGCTTACTTCTGAATGTGTAATCTTATGTGTGTGTGTATGTGAATTTCACCGAAATCGGACTACAATTGGCCAAGATATCAGACAATTAAACAAATTTTTTTTCCCTAAAAAAAACTAAATTTTTTTTCGAAAGTTTGAAGTGGTACAAAAATGTCACAAATGCACCCAATGGGTCAAAACTTTTTTTTTTGAGTAAATTTATTAGGCTAAAAATTTATTAAATTGTATTTTATTGACTTGTTATAAGACGTTTTTTGAGTTTTGCGCAAAATATAGAATTACCGCAAAATTAGCCGCACGTCGCATCAAGGATAGGCATGGTCTCGGCGTTCGCTATCCGACAAGTTTAAACTTCAAACGGTCATGTTGTGTATTTTTTTTGTGCTTTTCCAAAGGAAAAGTTAGTTTTTTCAAATATTGTTTTTTGTTAGATGTTTTCGGAAAACCCGGAGAAAATCATATGGGAAAAAAATAAAAAAAAAAACTACGCCTTCCGGTTTCCTGCGAATTCCCAAAAAATTATGGCAGATTTCGCCGCGGGACTTATTTTATTTGAGAGCCAATAAAAAAATACGCAACTTCTCTCGTATGCACATATGTCTAACATTTATAATTTCGCCACAAATTCATCGCGAATTTCATGTCCATGGTTCTGATCAAAGAAACGAAAAAACAACTTTTTGGTAAAAGCACTTCTGGCAGCGATAAATTCGCCATTAAAACTACCTGTGCAATGAATTTCCAAACTATTTTTGCCTCCTCTTTCGATAGGTGCATTTATTTTTACTATCGGAATGATACTTGCCCAGATAATTAGCATTTTATCATGGAAAATTCCGGAAAACCCGATTTTCCTAATTTAAAAAAAATTGAACAACAGCTACATCTTTTTTTGCTTTTTTTCGGAAAGATCACATCACAATACATAAGGTCCACTTTGTTTCATCCAATTACAAATTAATGTAAGCTCGAAGGGGCTTTTTTTCGTTATTTAATTGGGCTATATTTACTATTAGACTATTTTTGTGTACTTTGCTTCTTAAATAATTTTATTTTTAACGCACACAAGATCTGAAGTTCTTGTCCTCCTTAATCTTCTTTGTATTTCATGATGGTCGAAGATCTGAAAAATTTCCATGGTGACATACATAAAATGTCCCATAGCGGAAAGTACCACGATCCCAAGCTTGGCCCAGGCTTGGCTCATCTATACAGAACTCTGGGCCAAGCTGGTAAGCTAGTCTTGGGCAAGCCGTGGTTATCAAGACTGGTCTAGACTTCATTGTTATGGTAGGGCAATGCTTGATTGCTATGACTGGCCCATACTTTATTTTACAGGCTGGGTCATGCTTTATTTTCAGGTCTGGGCCATGTTTGATGACCATAAATTCACCATACTTGGTTGCCAGGACTGGGCTACTTATAGTTGCCCGAATTAAGACATTAATTATATTTTAAAATATTAATTATATCCATACCATCAGAGTCATTATCACTACTAACGTTAAAATGACTATTATCAAAATTATTGTTTAATGTGTGTAAATTACATGGTTCTGTTCCACTGGGATCTACACTGCTGTTAGAAGTTTTATTACTTGAACTTGGAACTTTGACAACTAAAATGCCTTTTGTATTTAAAACGTTTTTGTTTTATTTATCTCACGCCACCTTTTAACTCTAAGGTATGAATCAAGCATAACGATATCTATCAAGTAGCAACAAAAACTACGATTTAAAGGTTAACAATAAATATGCACATAAAAATAGTTCAACTGTTTCTGTGAGTTCTCAACGTTAACGTCGACACTTCGTGTTCCCTGTTCTATTAATACCCACTACTCGCACGCCTCGCTCAGTGATACTAAATTTGTTAACTAAACTGTGTACACTGTAACGCTAAATTACCATAACTGAGAATTCCAGTCTTTTCCCAAAGCTGGGAAACCACAGGTAAGGTCGAGGCTCCGTTATCCAGTCCTGGGCCAAGGATATGTAACTACAGGCATGGCTAAAGCTGGGTCTCCCATTCTTGAACCAATTCTGGTTAGCCGAAGCTGGGATTTCCAGTCTTGGCACAGAACTGGGAAACCATAGAAAGGGCCGAGGCTTGGTTACCCAGTCCTGGGCCAAAGATGGTTAAACACAGGCATGTTAAAGCTGGGTCTCTCAGTATTGGCCCAATTCTAGCTAGCCAATGGCCAAAGCTGGGCTTTCCAGTCTTGGCCCAGAACTGGAACACCACAGGTAAGGCCGAGGCTCGGTTACCCAGTCCTTGGCTAAGGATGGTCAAACACAAGCATGGCCAAAGCTTGGTCACCCAGTCTTGGCCAAAGGATGGGAAACCACAGGCATGACCACGGTTAAGTACCCAGTCCTAATCCAAGCATGGGCCAATATAAGTACGCCGAAGCTAGGTTCCCCAGTACTGGGTCAAACATTGCCCCTTTTTCCAACTCGAGAAACTCCCATATGGGATATATCACTATGTTGGAACCATACGGAATACTTTTTTATTATTGGTTATGTGAAAAAAATATTCCTGATAATTCTGCATGGTCAAAAACTTACAATGCTATCTTCAGATATCATTTTTTTTTAAAGTAGGAAATTGCTCGTCTTTTAATGAACTTTTTTTTTAATATTAATAATAAAAAGGTTTTTTGTGCCACCAAATGTCTACGTAAGCACTTATGCACTAGCTGTCACTGTCTGTAATGTATGCATTTAGAAGTTGCAAATAGTGCCCTATTAGATCTGTTATCCAGTGATCTAGATCTATTGTGGAATCTTGTTTTCTGAATACGCATTCATGGTCCTTTGTTAAGTTTTTTTTCTATGATTACTTTAAGCCTATTTAATAGCCGTTTCTCAAAGACTGTTGATATCTCTGGCAATAGAGAAATAGGCACATGAAGGGTCTAGTATTAAAACCTACAATCTCCGGTTTTTATAAAAAAATAGATTTACTATACAGAATGTTACTACGAATGCAATTATATTTTCATTCAGTTTCAAAACGATCAACCTCCCATAGTACTCTGCATAGTACTCAAATACTGGGTTTAATTTTAAAACGTACAATGTCCGTTGACAAGTGGGGATCAAAACGTACAATCTCCAAATATACATATGCTCTGTCTAACCGACGGACTCAAAGAAGCGAATACACAAATTACGTGCCACAGCATATTTTGAATTAGTACGTGAAAAAAAGGAAGTGATGATTACATTTTCATTTGATTTTGATAAAACCAACTTTTACCTAAACTATCTGATCAAGAGACATACTATTCGCACAAAATTTATTTGTACAACTTCACACTTATACAGGGACATTTGGAATGGGAAACTCAATCCATCAACAGTCACGAGTTTCTGTTGGACAGAAAACAAATATCCTAAGGGGTCAAAATAAATTTCGTCCTGTATTTATTATGTTTTAGAAAAACTAACTTTTGCGTTATAAGATGAATGTGTGACGGCTATGGAGGCCAGAACAAATATACAACACTACTGGAAATGTGGTGAAATTAGTTACTAAAACACAAAAACCAAAAAGCAAAAACACTTTGAGCAAAGGATTTAGGTGCGAGGAGAAGCTACTTATAAAGGTGGTCATAGAGCTGCTCATTATAGTGCAGATTGGAGAATCGACGAAAATATGCAATTTCACAAACTCGTTCTGTATAAAGGAGAAAAAGAAAATTTATAAAAAGAAGAAGACAGGCTTTGCGATTATTTTAATGAATGACCAAGTGTTAGAGCCTGAAAAAATATACAAATATTCTGAAAAATACTGGTTGGTATTTTTAGTGAAAACAATTAAAGAATTCATGCTGATTAGATTTTATTTGCAAAACTCCAATGTTCTGTTTTAAAACGTATAATCTCGACACTTTTTTTGTAATATAAGCTCAGTAATGTTTTTTTAACTTTGCGTTTTGGCAGACATGGTACAATAATATAGGTATTCAGCTATCAAAATATTAAAACCAATATTTAGGAATCATTTTAGTTGATTTTCTACAAAATAACATAAATAGACATTCTACATTTTGATACTATACCCCTCATATATGATATAGGTTTACTTGGTAGTTTGCTAACTTTCAGGATCATAATAACTTCCGCAATTTTCCCTACACTTGGTAAACGCTTTAGTCTGAAAGATACATTTATCAAATTTGTAAGTTTAGCAATCCCTTTTCTTGACAGTTTCTTTAGTACATTTCCTGTAAGCCTTTTTGCGTTGATCTGTTTTTTTTTCTCTAGTAACTTCTTTTGGGCTGACAAGTTTTATCTTCCCTTCCTTCTATTAATGTTTCCTTATTTTCGTATCTAATTCATTAAATTGAAAAACTCTCTCTCAAAATGTTCTGCAAGCAGGTCTACTTTTTATTTGCTGCCTATAGAGCATATTTCTCCTTCTGATCCTATGGGGGATACATTTGGTGGGTGTTTTCAATTTCTTTGTTGCTTTCCAAGACAACTAGTCATTATTGTAATGCGAGCTATTTCATTATTCAATCATGCTCCAATCCTCCAAGTCCATCTCTGTCTTATTTGACCTTTGAGGCTCAACTTGTCCGATTATCATACATAATTAAACCCCTTAAGACCAAACAAATATGAAGTCTATGGCGGAGGCGTTTTCGCGTACATTTCTGAGTCAACGTGATAATGTTTCTAGTATATTCCTGATATAACAAGATATTTCTAATTTGGCGGAGAAGCATTCTGGAACCTTCACCATAATTTTAATTTGTATATAAATATTGGTGGAGGAATAACGCAGTTATAGATAAAATAGTGAAGATAAATAGTGAACAATTTAAAGACACTCAAACTATATAAATTTAAAAAGTATTTTAAAGGGAAGTAAAAGGCTCAAAGTCTGTCGACCACATAAATTTATTAGGTTGGGTTGCAAGCGCTTTCGACCTAAAAGGTCATCATCAGGCAAAATTTTTTGAAAGTGAGTAGGTAGGTAGGTACAATCTGCAATAATAATTTAGGATAACAAAACGTTTTTTATAGAAATGCTAGGTGTCTTACCACTATGTGTCCACAGAAAAAATTAAATGTTGAATTAAAATTTTAAATTTGTAAAAATAAAAATTATACAAATTGGCACGTACTGCCTCCCTCATTCGAGGTTGGATATTGTTTAATCTTGAACCTCGCCTGCCTCCATCTAATGAAGGTGGTTATAAAAGATAATCTCAAATTTGAAGTTCCACATGTGTGCTTAAGGCACCATGTGAAAAATGTAACTTTTCGAAAATTACCGTTGCTCCCCCTATCCCCAGTACAAATGGGGTAGACGGAGTTTGGTTTGTGTACACCCTTAAGCCTAGGCTTAAGGGGTATCATTAATTAATAACTTTGCTTAACTTCGGGAATTTTACTTAGCACCTTCGTCATTCAAGGGTGAAGTTGAATGAGAAAATGGTGGAGAATTTACGACATTTGACAACTGACATATGATGGAAGACACGTAGTTACAATTATGGTTGAGATAATATTAATAATTAAATTTGACATTAGTTAAATTGAATATGCTAAATTAGTTTTGTGACAAATTTTATAGTATAAGTTTAAACAATTTGACAGGATGTCCAAGACTTTGAAGAGGCCACGAGTAAATTCTGTTGGTGTTATAAAGTTAGAGTGCCATTTGATTTTTAAAAAAGAAGAATTTGACATTAGACATTAGATTTAGGTTAAGGAAATTTATGATATGTATGAATTTTTGAAAAAGGGGGCTATTATATATATTATTACAAGTAAAAGGTTGAAGGATTTACAAAGGATTAAGGAAACTTTAGAAGGTTAATCTGGAAAAGATAGGCTTATATGTAGGTTGTAATTGATCATTTAAACACACCACATCTGGATTATTAGTATGTTGATGAATGTAATACATTTCAAGTAAGTCCAGCCTAATGCCTTTGGGACATTGGATAAGAAGAGAGGCGTTATCTGGAAAAGTGAAGTTATATTTAGTATAGAAAACATGATTAGCAAATGTGGAATTGGTATCTAAAATATTCGAGGATTTATATCTGTTGATGGTTTTGTAATGTTCTAAAATTCGGGTTTCTTTCTTCCTGACTGGCCGACGTAGATGGCATTGCAATCATTACAATTCAGTAGATATACCCCTGGTTTATGAAAAGTGGGTACAAGCTCTTTATTCCGTACTAGAAGTGCGTAAGGTGAGTTGGTACTTTTAAAGGCTATGTTTATGTTGAATTTTCTGAATATTTTAGCTAGTTCATATGACACAAGAAAGAAATAGAACCAGAATAAACCTTAGGAACAAACCTAATAAATTTATGTGGTCGACAGACTTTGAGCCTTTTACTTCCCTTTAATCTACTTCGGACCACTTTGAGATATGGATAATATTTGGAATTTAAAAAGTATTGTTATAAAATAAAATAAAATAAGGATTTATATAAATTGTTTACAATAAACTGTTGTTAAAAATAAACAAACATTACATTACGTAGTGGTTTGTGAGTCGCAAATTTACGAAAATACGAAACAAAAGGTAATTTTTATATTTCTTTTATATATTTTTTTTTTATTTTAAATGTTCTTATTTTTTGGATATCCTATTTGCTGTTCTCTCTAATCTCTTTTAAGGTCTGTAGTTAACGAATTTCATTTGAATAGGTATTCCCAAAAATTAATTGGCAATCGATTTCACAGTTTTCTAATTCCATTTCTAGTTGTTCTATTATTAAAAAAACATTAAGTTAATTATATCACTTAATTTGCACTGGAAAGTCTTTAAAGTTTGTTAACTTGTTGGTTAAGGTTGGATTACATTGCATTACAGTTAAATGTTTACTCAATGTCATTATAACTGGGAAGTGATTAGATCTAACATCAAAAATGATTTTTCCATTTTCAGCTGTTAAAATTTTAGTAATGAAGAAGTCTACATAATCTGCATTTTTTTAGGATCTGTTTGGCCACCATATGGGTTTTTTGTTAGATAAATATTGACACCCTAGCCTAGTAACGGTGTTAATCTTGATTCTTTATAAGTTTTGTTTTTTTTTTTAAAAATACAGCACTTTCAC